GGGGGGGGGGGGTGCCTGTGATGATGTGTGCCCTTTTGAATAGGTCCATGCAGCATGACCAAGGCCCTCCAGTGAACAGTTTAAGGCACAGCACAACTTACCACCCTCCCCCCTCCATCACTCTGGTGCCAAGGCCTGTAGTGGACACGTTTTTGTGAGGCTAAGCTTCTGTGATCTGGAACTCTCTGCTACCTCAAGAGGCAGTGGATGGGCCCTCTAGAATATCCATTGCTTCTGTCAAGGGGGCACTGGCTCTCCTCTGGGAAATAGCAGGGGGTGAGGCTACTGGCCATGTACCAGGACATAGAGGCCCAAGAGGTCCATGTCTACTAGTGTGGTTAGCAAGAACAGGCATCACTGCGTCTGTGGTGAGCACATGGGGCCCCTCATGTCTACTGAGCCAGAATCCCCCAAAACAGGGCAGTATTCCTGTTTTGCAGAAGAGAAAACTAAGGTTCAGAGATTAGTCATGAACTCCAGGATGCCGTCAGTGTACTCGGTCAGGACTGCCTGGCTTCCTGCAATGGTACGGCATGAGTGGCTAGGCACCTGCCATCAACCATATGGTAGGAAGGAGACATTACATCTATTTTATCAACAGGATAACTAAGGCTCACAGTGATGACACCCCCATCCCATAGTGACAGACAGTGAATGGCTGAGCCAGGATGCCAGCCCTATCTCAGTCTGAGTCAGCAAGTCCCCTGCTCAGTCTGCCACTGCCCAGCCCTCTGGCCAAGTGGGTTCTAAAGCACCTGCTCTAATGTGCCCAGAATGCAGACTGGATGCTGGCCCTCTGCTAAGCCATTGCCCCAGTTGGTGTCCTCCTGCCCTTATGTCTGAACTGACCATCTATCTCTCACATGGCAGGGTGTGCATCACATATAGCCCTGCAGGTGGCAGACAAGAAACTGCTCTCCCATGTGGCAAGTCTCAACTGTCCTGTTATCATTTTATGTGCTAAGAACAAAAGCACTGCCACTTCAACCAGGGCCTGGCAATTTTAAAAGGCACCCTGGAATCAGAGAAATTAAAAGTTGAAAAAAGTACACAAAGGATTGGTCAAATATAGACTTTCTAGCACATAAATGTATCTACAAGGGTCTAGTCAAGTGTGTGGGCCAAAGTAATGTGTAATCTGCCTGTGCTCCCTCCAGCACCCTGCAGGTTCTTTTCAGGGTGAGGTGCCTGTCAGAGGCCACTGGCTTCACATCCATCACTCAGGTAGCACAATGTTCTCCAACAAGAAGCATGTGTGTGTAGCCCATTGTTTGATCTTAAAGCACTTCAAATAGTTCCCAGGAAGGGAAGAGGCTGAAGACCTAGCCTGGTGACCCACCTGTCCCTATGCCCACTCTCAGGAGCTGCATGTGGAAAGGAAGGTGCACGAGACAGGCCACAGCACACTGCTGTGAGGGGCTGCCACACTGTTCTGATCCTGACCCAAGAATATCAGGATGGAACACAGTGAGGCTGCAACCTTTCACTGGTCCACAGCTAAGGGAAGAGACTTGTGGCAAATTTTTTACCCAAGAACACTGACAAAACACAAACACTCGATATAAAGGAACTGGAGACAGATGACAGAGAATGCACTCTTTCATCTAACTCACATGCAGAACTGGGCAGGAGAGTCCTGAGGTTGGACCCACTCAGACCAGACACACAAGACAACAAAGGCTCCCTGATGCTCATACCCAGCCCTCACCCCACCCAACAGTGGCCACTAGTAGAGGAGCTGGGGGCCTGGTTTAGCCCAATGAGGCTCCAGAGAGGCGAGAACCCTGAGGCCACAGCTCTGGGCTCAGCCCTCCACTACAAGTGTTTATTGTGTCTCTTCCAGATGCCGGCACTCCTCTAGGGCTGGCAGTTTTAGGGGAGAGAGACATGAAGAAAAAAAATCAGACAATAAAAAATATAAAACAAACAAACCAATAATAGGAAATGGGATGGACAGAGTGGAAGTGCAGACCAAGGCCTGGTCATAAGGGCAGAATGTGGCAGAAGGGGCAGGCAGGGCCGTGGGGGCGCAGCTGCATGCTAGCCTGACCCTGCTCAGTCTGGCTGTGTGACCCTGGACTGGTTTCCTGCCCTTCCTAAAGGTCAGTCCCCTTTGGGTTGATGGAATTGCCACCACCTACCCAGAGGAGTGAGACGCACACAAGATGAATGCACACATAGCACAGAGGCATGCTGATTTTCATAACACCATGTCCCACACCCAGAGCAGGTAGCAGACAGTGCTCTGTGTCCTTTCTTACCTTGGTAATGATGTCCTTGAACTGACCTTCTCTCCAGGCCTCTGTGGGGTGATTCATCATGGTGAGCACAGCGTTGTCGTACTCCTCATACTTGTCATACAGGAATACCAGCTCTGCCCAGAGGTGTGCCTGCTCTGCAGCCCTCAGGACCTGAAAGGAAAGGGTGTGGGTTGGTCAGCTTGTGCCACATGTGAACATGGTAGCCAGACCATGTGGAGGGCACAGTACCTTTGGGATGTTGACTCGGGACCAGAAGAGCTCCAGGTGCTCTGGCATCTTCTGTGCTTTGAATTTGGAGTAGAGGATGGCCAGCTCTGTGAACATGCCCATGTGGGCCCGTTCCAGGCCCAGGGCTGCCTCCAGCAGTGAGATCAATTCCTCAAAGTAGCCACGATCCTGCCAGACCAACAGCCACATGTTAGGCAGGGGAATCACGTACCCCCCACAGCCACCCTGTGCCCATGCCTCGGGACATACCACAAGGACTGTGCTGTCAACTGGGAACAACCCTGAGGAGGGGAGTATGTCTGTTGTGTTGCAGACACACCATGTATTTAGTGATTTGTCAGACCATCTGATGGTTGTCACTCTTTGGGAAGCAGCACATTTCACTACAATTTTTAAGTTCAGTTAGTGCAAATCAGTACTGCCATTTTTTATAAAAAGAAATATGAAAAAATAAAACAGGAAATGGGGGTAACAGGGACTGAAATGGACAGTTTTAATCTCTTGCCACAGCTTACTCCTGGAGTCCTAGCTCCAAAAGTCTACAGGGACTGAAATGGACAGTTTTAATCTCTTGCCACAGCTTATTCCTGGAGCCCTAGCTCCAAAAGTCTTCAACTCTACTCAGCATGCCACACCACTGTCATTTGACTATATCCCCAATTATGGTGGCCAGTCCCTTACACTCAGCCTCACCTCATTTGTCATGCTGGACAAGATCAGACATCTGGTGCCAGCCTAGCTCATCCTGTAGGAACCCTGGAGAAACACCCAGCTAAATGCACTGTCTCTGTTTACCTTAATGAACACAGCCTTGAGAGGGCCCACCCCAAAGGATCATCTCATACCACTTCTCCTTCTAAGGAGCATACCTCTCTGTCCCCACCCCCAGTCTCAGGTTAACCTTGCTTTCTGTACCACACCTGCCTGCCTGCAGCATCTGCACCCTCACATCAGCCTACAGACACATCAGCCTACAGCTGCCTGCACTCCTAACTGGAACCCATCCAGCCTGCAGCTCCATCCCACCTACTTGCCTATCAAGGTCACGGCTCCAGTGACCCCACTTTCTCTTCTGCATTAACCTCTCTCTTCACAGCTGGCCTTTGGCAAGCATCCTGCTCATCCTCTGTCTTGACCATGTGTCCCCTGCTAGCTGCCACGCCATTTCTCTACTCCCCTTTGCAGCAAAAATCCTTCAGAACAACCATTCCTGTTCCTCTTCTTGTCCTTCCAAGCCCACAGGTCAGGCTGAGTCTTGCCCCCACTGACTCCAGGTCACCAGTGACCCCCCTCAACCCTCCTTAGGGCCCTTTGGCCCTGCTAACTGCTCCTTCCTCCTGGGTGCATCTGGAGCCAGTGTGCTCTCTGAGATTTCTTCCCACCATGCTCCTTCTCTCTCCTCAGTCAACCCACGTTGGTGACTCCAGAGCTCACCCTCAGGGTATTGCAATCGTGTGTCTTTGTAGATCATCTACATGTAGATCTATCTCCAACTGCCCACCTGATGCTCCCATTTGAACATCTAACTCAGACTTAGCTCCATGCACCCATAACCTAATTCCTGCCTATTCTTCCACGCAGTCTTCACCTTCAGTCTCCTTCAGATCCACCAATAACTCCATCTTTCTACTTGTTCATGCCAAAAATAAATAGAACTGTTCTTGAATTTTCTCCCCAACCCCCAGGGATTTAATGCATTTGCTTATCAAAGTGGCTACACTTTTAAAGTATACACCAGAACCTGATGGCCTGATCACCTCTCACTCCTGTCACCACCACCATGGTTGAGTCACCATCCCCTTTGGCCTAAACCACTGCAAAAGCCTCTAGCTGCTCCCTCGGCTCCCACCCGGCCCCTCCACCTGCCCAGCTGCCCCCCATAACTGTCCTTAGCATAAAGCCAAAATGGTCCCTTTACCCTCCACTCTGCACCCACCCCAAGCACAGCCCAGACCCTTGCTAATGGCCTGCAATCTGGCACTCAGCAATCAGACCTTCTGTTACTCTCTGGTTCCACCCCTTTCCTTGAATACATGGCACGCTCCTGCCTCAGGGCTCTACCCTGACCCACCCCTCAAATGTCCTCATAATTAAATTCTTCCATTTCTTTTGGTCTTTGCCCAAATGTCACCCTTTAATTCATGCTACCTTGTCTACCCCTTTTATGAAACTCCTCCCAGGTATGCCCATACCCTCAATTGGCTCCATTTTCCCCTGTAACTCATCATCTTCAAGCATACTACAAAATTATTTGTTAGGTTTGTTAACTGCCTGTCAACCTCACTGAATGCCAATTCAACTGAAAAGGGGTTTTTCTGTTTTGTTCACTGAAACAGTTATCTAGAATAATGCCCAGAACATAGTCGGTACTCAAGTATTTGGTGACTAAATAAATTATTCTATTTGTCAGCTCCAAACGCTCCCCATTTGCTTTTTAAGTTCATTTCTCAAGCTTCTGTGGGATGGGAAAGCATTTCTCATTCAAAAGTCATCAGGCCTGGCCTGATATTCTGGACACCATGGGTCCCTGAGCTGATGCAAGCCCCTGCAGACTACCACTCATTCAGTGAGGGGCCTGGGGCTCAAGTTCTATGGCCACAGTAACACTGCTGAGCAAGGTCACATCTTTACCTTGACTAAGCATACCTGGAATCCCACAGGTGGAGGCCCAGGTTCCTAAACATGCAAATGACTGTGTACCAACCACTCAAGAGCAGAGCCTAGATACACTATGAACCTGCAGGAGCCCGCTCATCCAAAGGGCCCCCCTTGGGGTTCCCTCTCTTCCATATGCTTTGTCCCAAAGATGCTTGATAAACACATCCCTGTGGACTGCACAGTGCAGGGAACTAGAGTGTGGGCCAGGGCTCTGACACAACTGAGTAAGTATTCCCAACAAGTTATCCAAGGGTTGTTCCTGTTGTGCAAGCCACTGACTGGGCTTCTGAAGGCGCACAAGACACAAGAGAAAGGAGAGCACTTTCAAAACACAAAATCCCAGTCAGCCATGAGGTCCAGAGTAGCTAACACACCAAGTTCATCCAATTTATAAATGGCTGTCTAGCACATGAAAGGAACCTTTCCCACAGAGGCAATGTTTCACATAAGCTTATCTGCAGAGGCAGCACCATATGGACACACGCTAGGGGAGTACCAGCGCCCTTCTGAAGTACTCAGGCATCGCTCATCATCTGCATCACCAGCAGAGATCTGCTCACCTGGTAATAGCGGATCAGCTCTTCCAGCTCGTCTGCGTGAATCACAACGTGAAGACCACATAGCTGTGCAAGGCAGAACTCCTGCCCATCCACACAGGCAAAGCATACCTGGGGGATGGAGGGTCAGCATGAGCATCCCCAAGATGGGACACAGCACCACAGCAGCTGGCTCACAAGACACAGTTGAAAATGTATAAATACCAGCAAACAGGATTTGTTTTCATTTGGATTCTGAACAAGTGGGTAGCTCTAAGATGAGGTGCAAACGATTGAAAGAATGATGACATTTATAATCTGTAGGGCCAGGGGGTATTTAAGACCATGGAGAGAAGACAGCCCTGCATTACTCCCTGGGCCTTGAGATGTGGAGATCTGTTTAGGTGACAGGAAGCTCAGGCTGAAATTTCAGGTTTGGGGTTTGAAAGGGGTTTAACAATGCTCAAGAATGATTATCACGAGAGCACATTTCATCTGATAACTTTTTAAGGCTATTTTGTTTTCTGCACTGTACATACTCTGCTTAATGACAACACATATTGAGAAGGGAAAATTTCCTATGTGGAGACCCTCAAGCTGCACTTCCTAAGACAGCAAGAGGACTGACCCCTCACCACCCTAGAACTGGGTTTGCACATAGTTTCCCTACTTCCCCTACCTGCTATCTATGCACATGTTCTCATGGCAGAGGAAGCAGAAAGTGCAATAAGCAAAAATAATCATATTAACCCAGCGTTATTAACAAGATATATTCTTTGGCCTACTGCTTTCTAAGTGTGACATACACACCAGCACCCTGCGAAACTTCTCACACACATACAGTGGGATTATACTAGACATTCTGCTTGATAACATATTGCTCACATAATAGTGGAGATACCTTTTCTTGTAACTCTGCCTATTTATTCTGAACAAGGTAGAGTTGCAATGTATACATTATTAATGAAGGCCTTGACATTGAACATTTAGGTTGATTTCAGCCTTTTTTATTTTTATTTTGCCAGCCATGAAGGAAGAATGGTTTTATTTTTATTTATTTATTTTCTGAATTGGGGTCTCACTCTGTCACCCAGGCTGGAGTGCTGTTACATGATCATAACTCAGTGAAGCCTCAACCTCCTGCGCTCAGGCCATCCTTCTGCCACTCAGCCTCCTGAGTAGCTGGGACTACAGGCACGTGCCACTATTCCTGGCTAATTTTTTTTTAAATCTGTAGAGACAGGGTCTTGCTATGTTTCCTAAACTGTTCTTGAGCTCTTGGACTCAAGCAATCCTCCCACCTTGGCCTCTCAAAGTGCTGGAATTATAGGCATAAGCCACTATGACTGGTTAATTTTAATCTTTTATTAAACAATGCTTCAGAGATTCATTGAATTTAATCTTTTTCTTTAAAATATTTTTTCCAGCTGGGCTCAGTGGCTCAGCCTGTAATCCCAGCACTTTGGGAGGCTGAGATGAGTGGATTACCTGAGCCTGTGGCTTCGAAACCAGCCCGGGAAACTTGGTGAGACCTCATCTCTACAATAAATAAAAAATTAGCCAGGCGTGGTAGTGTGTGCCTCTAGTTCCGGCTACTTGGAAGGCTGAGGCAGAAGGATCACTGGTACCCAGCAGGTCGACGCTGGGGTGGCTGTGAGCATGCCACTGCACTCCAGCCTGGGTGACAGAGTAGAATTCCAACTCAAAAAATAAAAATAAAATAAAATATTTATTCCACTTAAAGATGACTCTGATAATATCAGAGAGCCTCAAGACAATTTACCCTACCAATTTTCCACAAAAGACCAATAAAGCCAATTGACACTGATTATGCATATAAGGCAACAATTTTAAAAAGTGTTATGATCATTTTTATATTATTGATAATTTCATGCTATTAAGACAACTTCTGGGAGCTGACTGGTCCGACATGGGTTCCCTGGGGCCTTTGCCTCCAAGTATAATCACTAGCTTATGAGTTTCCGAGCCATCCTAGAAGAGTCAGACCCATGCCTCAATAAGAGTCTGCCCCCAGACTCATCCTGCTTGAAGGAAACTGTGAAGCATGAGAGGAAGGACAAGGAGGGAGTGCTTGTCAGAGCAGCACTCTTCTGGAGACTTCCTGCAGCTTACCTCCTTCCATGTCTGGGTGCTGTTGGCCTTGCGGCTGCTGTCCACTGCTGCCTGATACTCACCAAGGTGGACCAAGGTGGATGCCAGGCGAGCAAAGTTAGACACATTGCTATACAGCAGCTTGGCAGGCTTGTACATTCCCTCCTCATAACAGCGGTCTCCAACCTGCAGACAATAGGGTAGCTCTTACATGGGAAGACTTCTCCAGAGTTGCGCTTCACCACCTAGCTGGCAGAGGCACTTTTCTGTTTGCTAAAGAGGACAGAATCTTCTTGATCACACCAGCCACAACACACTACTGCAGAGCTCAGAAGATGCCTCCCAGTCTCAGGACATCCTCCTCTGCACAGGAGGCAGTTTCCACCTGCCTGGGTCTGCATGGCCCTGCATGCTGGCACCTCTCAGGCCCTGGCTGTCATCTCTCTTACCTGCACCCCCTTGGGCGTGGGCTGAGATGTTCCTTGTTGCTTCCATACCATGCCCCTTCTTCCCCACTAAAAACTGTCAACAATGAATCTTATCAGGCACCACCCACCAGCCCTAATTCCTGATACCAGTTACAGATCTTGCTTGATCCCTGACAATTTCTTTGGTTCCTCTGCTCTAAGGACTTTGTCTTCCTCATGACAATAATCACAGACATGGCCAGCCCCTCGGCAGAGGGCTGCCAGTCCTGGGAACCCATTGCAAGTATTTACCTTCTGCCTTGTACCCTTCTTGTATAACTCACTGTCCTGAGCACCTCAACACCACCAGCATAGTGACTTGACTGCCTGCCTCCTGCCTGACTTGTACTTATCTCTAGTTGGCAGCCCAGGGTCAAGCTGGATGGCTCCCAGCACTCACCCTCGACTCTCCTTTTTGTTCAGTTCCACTTAGGCTAGTGCTCCACCTACTCCACACCTATGGCCATGGAGCTCAACACAGACAGCAGAGCCCAGAAGTGCTGGCAGGTATCTCTAAATTAATAACTACCAATCTCAGATGGGCTGGAAACACTAACAATTCTGCTTCCTTAATCCATGGCCTCTCTCACTGCCAACTACTCAAATCTTCTTTCCTCAAACCTCCAACAATTCCTTAAGCTGAGTAAACAAAGTACCAGGAAAGCCTTCCAGAGCACCAGGACTGGGACTGTCCTCCTCCCCACACCACCAAGGCCAGCACAGGACCTCTGCTCTCTCCCCCTGCTCCACATTAGGGTCCTAGGAACTCCCTGCATTGGCATCCCCTTCCGCACTAATACACTCCTACAAGCTTAAGCTATCCCTGTTCTTTTCATCAGTTTAAAACAAAACAAAGCCGGGCTCGGTGGCTCAGCCTGTAATCCTGCACCTTGGGAGGCTGAGGTGAGAGGATTGCCTGAGTCCGCGGGTTTGAGACCCACCCAGGCAACTTGGCGAGACCTCATCTCTACCTAAATCAGAAAACTAGCTGGGCGTGGTAGCGCGTGCCTGTAGTTCTGGCTACTTGGAAGGCTGAGGCAGAAGGATCGCCGGAGCCCAGTGGGTTGAGGCTGCGGTGGCTGGGAGCGGCCACTGCACTCCAGTCTGGGCCACGGAGTGAGACTCCAACTCAAAAAAACAAAAAACAAACAAACAAAAAATAAAACAAAACAAAACCAACCCTACTTGCTTTGCCCTCAGCTTACCTGGTGGCTGCCAGCCTGTTTCCACCCTTCCTGTCAGAGCACACTTCTCAGGAGAGGAGTTTGTGTGTCTACAATAGCTAACCTCTGTCTTCCTGTCCTCTCTGCAGTCTGCTCCCATCAGGCTTTTGCCCGACTCTGCCAGAGTCATTGCTCCTCCAGAGATGCCAATGCAGGGTCCTAGACCTGTCTGCTTCTCTCCCATCTCTCTGGCCACTCTATCTCCATTTCTCCCTGCTGTGGGTTGAGGTACCCCAACTTCTTTGGCCCATCTTCCTTGCCCCATACCCCCACTGCCATGCTCTCCCCGAGTGGCAGCTGTGAACCTCACCTATCCCCCAGAGGCTGCCCATGTACATCTCTAGTCTGGACTTCTCTGAAACCTAACTCCTGCATCCAGCTGGACAGACCCGCGTGGCATCTATTAGAGGTCAGACTTGTCCAAAAGTGGGTCCTGATGCCCCTAGGTAGTCCTCACACACTGTCCCTATCAGTGAGTGTGACCCCCTTTCCCCAGATGTGACTTGACCTCATGGTTTTTCTTCTCATACCCCATCTGCTCTGGCCTCAAGAAATGGCCAAAAGCTGACCATGCTTTCCATTTGCCTTGTCCACCTTGTCTGCCATCACCACGTCAATCTCCTCTGTGCTTGTTGCTCTGCCCTTGCCCCTCACTCTGTGGTGCAGCAGCCAGAGGGGTTCTGCTAACCCAGAGATTAGATCACGTCCCTCCTCTACTCAAAATCCTCCAGTCTCACCCAGAACAGAAGCAGAGTCCTGATGCTGGCCCACAAATCCCTACCCATGGAAGCCAAACCTGTCTCTTCCCACTGCTGCCCAAGTCTCCTGCTCCCATGGCTGTACTCTAGCTCCCTGCCTCTGTACACCTGCAATGTTCCTTGTGGGACTCCTGCTCTCACCCTGCTCTAAGGGCTCCTCCTCAGAGGGGTGTAGAATCAGCACCCACCATGGGCTCTGTCTAACACTGGAATGCCCACCATCACACCCACGCCTCCCCAACACTTTCTGCCCTTACCCTGCTTCTCTCTTTTATGCTCACCATTAACACCCATAGTGTCTTTAAGGACCTCAGGATCCACAGGGGCAGAAGTGTGACTACTGTTTTCACTGCTATATCCATAACCTCTACCCTGGCACACAGGTGATGCTCAATAAATTTATTGATGAATGATACATGAAGTATTACAGCAAAGAGGGTGATCAGATAAGGCTCATGACTGTCAATTTACAAGAAACAAAGGGAAAATGAATTAAATGACATCATGGAGATGCAGTCAGCAAATACCAGACCGTGGGAAACATACACAGAGGCGGTAGGCTGGATCTGGCCCCCAGGCTGAAGATTACTAGCCCCCATCTTGGGGCTGTGGAGAGCAGGGAGCTTACCAGGCTTAGGGGCCACTGTGGACACAGAGGTGAAAAGCTGGACATGCTCTCAGCCCCACACAGTGGCCCTGTGTGGTAGGGCTTCTGCTTTGCCCCTACAGTGCCTCCGATTCAGAATCTTGTTACTAGTTCAGAGGGGGATTTGGGGCAAGGCTTTGTTTTCTAACATTTTAATTACTTTTCTGATTATAAAGACATTTTTTGAAGTTATATGTCACTGACTAAAAAGTAAAGTTTGCAAACACAGAAAGGAAAATCATATAATATTGCCCATTCCACACCCCAGAGTTGTTCACTATTCCTGTCTTGGGCATTTTTCTAAACATATATAAGGGTATTTATATTGTGTGTGCATTTTTCCACTTTATTTGAACTAACTTTTAAATGTTTTTCTACCATCAACCAGACTTTAAATCGCTATATTATACTCCATTGGTAGATGCTTTTATTTAACTATTTTCTTTTGCCAGACATTGGCTTTGAATTTTTATTTGCATAAATCATGCTGTAATGATCAAATATTTGTATGTGGCTCTTTTCTACTTTCTTGGGATAGATTTTTACATCTAGACTTACTTGGTCCATGATTAGAAATAACAGAACTCTACACATATATTTAAAATATTTTCTTTTGTGCTTTCTTTCACTGTTTACTTTCTCATGCAAAATTTCAAATAAATATTCAAATAATACTTAAGGAAAAACAATTTTTATCTTTAATTCTTTTATCTAGAATTTTACTTTTGGTCACAGAATTACATGATAAACTTTTAGCTTCTTTCAAACTTTAACCTGACTTCCAACAATTACTTAGAACTTATTTTGAAATTAAAAAATTCATAGTTCACTTTGGTGTTATTTATTTTAATGATTTGTGTGCATTCCTTCAAGAGGAGTGCACTTACAATTAGCATAGAGTTAGAATACATTCCATCATCTTTCTTTATTGATTTTTCCAGGGATAATATTTTATCCACATGACAGACTTTTTTTTTAGCTCTTTCTTTTATTATTTAATGTTGTTGTTGTTAAGGTTTATTTAAACATTTTGGCTTTATTCCTATTTTTTAAAGGAATATTTGTTCCCCGTTATGTTATTTTATTATTGCTGACATAAGAGAAAGCTATTAATTATGCATCCAGATTATTAATTTTCCAAATATAAACTTTTATGCATCCAGATTATTAATTCCTAATTAGTGAGTTAATTCTGTTTTCTTGTGGTAAGCACAGCACCTGCATTTAAATTCTGAATCTTCTCTTCTAGGAGAATCACTCTGATTTATACACAGCCTAGGGCAAGTCAAAATTCCACGGGTCTTAATTTCCATACCAACAGTAGCAATACATTCCTTAATTCCTTGTGTGGCTTGGTTCTCACCATCATGAATCTGCATCACTCTAAAGAGCATACCTGACCTCAATCTGCGTGTCGCGGTTCACAGTCCCCAGGGTCACAGCCTACCTGCTGGATGTAGGCATTGTTGGGTCCATTAACACAATCTTCTAGCTCAGAAAGACGGCTGGTTTTAGCCAAAGCAAAGAGAAGTTCGGTCTCTATATAGGACTCACGGCCCTTTTTCCTGGCCATCTGCAGGAATTTGACTAGATCCTCCCAGTTGTCTAAAGACAGAAAACAAGCATAGATAACCCAGAGCTGACAATTTTCAATAGGGGCTCCCATTCTGTCCTCAGCCAGATATGTTTACCCTGCCCGCTATGCCTCACTGAGAACTGAGACTCCAGGTAATATCTAAAATGTCTTTACTGTGGCCACTAAGCAGACTCATATCTCAGGGGGGAGAAGGGGAAGGGGCAGAGCCACTTGCGAGCCACCCCTGGGCACAGAAACCTCCATGTCCCCAAGTAAAGACTTCACCAGGAGACAGAATGCTTGTTCTAGCCACTTGAGAGGTTGGTGCCACAACTAATTAGAAACACCATAAGACAATCCCCAGGAAACTTTGGGTCTAAGTCACTGACCTTAAAATGATTACAATAGTGCTATCTGTAGTACTTAAACTGACTAATCTTTTTTTTTTTTTAAGTCAGAGTCTCACTGTCACCCAGGCTGAAGTGTGGTGACACGCTTTACAGCCACTATAGCCTCAATCTGCTGGGGTCAGGTGATCCTCCCTCCTCAGCCTTCCAAGTAGCTGGAACCACAGGTGCACGCAACTACACCCAGCTCATTTCTTGATTTTTTTATAGAGACGAGATCTTGCCAAGTTGTCCAGGCTGGTCTTGAACCCCTGGATTCAGGTAATTCTCTTGCCACTGCCTCCCAAAGTGCTGGGATTACAGGCGTGAGCCACCTTGCTCGGTTTGCCTAATCTTATAAAGGAGGGCAACAGTCAACTGAAGAGCCAGTATCATTGACAGAGTAATGTTTACCTCAGACTGTTTTGGGAAACTCATTTAGATGCACCCTCTGATATCTCTGGATGCATATACAGAGTGATTCCTGGGCATCTCTTCAAACTTTTGCTTCACCGGGTTTTGCCCCAGTGAGAAGCAGAGCCCCACAGAGAGGAGATTCACTTACTTCTCTTGCTGGCTGCCTGAACAACTTCCAGGTAAGAGGAAGGGTCGTCTGCTCTGATATAGGAGTCAATAGCTTCCTTTACCAAGTCTTTCTGGAGCTGGGCTCGGGCCAGCTGACTCCACACAGCAGGTTCATTGCATTTCTCTGCAAACTCATATGCTCGGTCTAGGTTTCCAATGTGATCGATCAGGACCTAGGGGTTACGAGAGGACTTGCATTCTCTGCATCACCTAGTCAGCTCCAAGGAACGCACACATTTTTGTTTGGTTCCCTGTTCTGTCTGAAGGCACATGACCAATTCAATCCAGTCCAAAGCAATTGGGCATCAAGTATTTCTCAGATGGATGAATAGAGGAGAGAGAGAAGAGCCATTATATGGGAAGGGGGATGTCAGATAAAGAAGAGACAATCCAACAAAGTGGCATAAAGGGATGAAGACAGCCAGGCTAAGCTTTCTGGGCCAGGGGTAGGACAGAGGAAGTGCCTCTTGATCTTAGGAGGAGAGACAGTACAATGGAGCAGAAAGGCTGTACAAAGGATCACAAGAGCTGCTGGAGGGAATGAGATCCCTCATCAGACAGAAAACAGGTTTGTCAGGTGGCCTGGAGGGCTGTGCTACAGCGAAGGCCACTGCCATATGGTAGTAGCGGTGGCAGTGGTGGCAGCAGTGGCAGCTGCCTACCCTTATGACAAGGTAGTTTGTCTCAGAGCAAGGCCGTAGCCCATGAGTGGGCACAAAATAAGGGCTTCTAGATTGAAGGTTTCAGAGGCAGGTATAGAAAAACAGTAAAGGAAGAGGCAAGGAAGTAAAGGATATAAGTAGGAGAGCAGTAAAAGTGACATGTCATATGAATTACAACTGATTTGAAAATAAAATCAGAAAAGGCTCACAGAGTGGGAAGAAAAGGATATGGTTTCAGGGAGAATTACTGGGGAGGTGGAAGGGCAGGGAGGGAGGGTTGGAAGGACAGCTTTGGGAACTTGATCTCAGATACTGAATAGCTCCTGCTAAGAAGGCAGGAACATGGGAGGTGAGGGGAAGTGACACAGTGGTAAGGGCTGGAATAACTGTCACTGGGGGTGTGAGTGCCTCTAAAAATCAAACACCTAAGTCACCAGGGCTGACCGCACAGCCTTATTTGAGTACCAAAGCTCAGGGGAATGCTGAGGAGTAATCGGGAAAGGGAAGGCTAACAGCCACATGGAGGAAGCAGCAGCAGAGAAAGTCAAGGCAAAAGGGGAACAAGCTGGGAAGACGGGTCACTGGTGAGGAGGAGAGAAGAGCACAGAGACCCACTGGACAACCAGAGGGTCTGACACCCTTGGAGATAAGGGGTCAGGGAGTGCTCATGGTGTGGCAGAGAATGCCATGGTGCAACATGCTTGTATTCAGCAGCCCACCTGAACAGCTGAGGCATTCACATCAAACTTGCGGAAGATGGCAAAGGCTTCCTCATACAGTGCACTGCTGATGGCGATGCTTGCGATGTCTAAGGCGTCATAGTTGTCCAGACGGTTGATGTACTCCATAACCCGTGTCCGGGCTGCCTTGATGGCGGTCAGGATCAGCAGATTCTGGAGATTCCTGAGGAGAGGGGGTAGTCAGCAAGGCACCCCAGGAACAGAGGCTGTACAAAGCACTTTTTGGCAGGTCACGTAGCCTATTGCGTCAATTAAAAAAATTAATTAATATACACATACATAAATAAGAAGTATATACAACAGAATATTTGTGATATATGTGGATTCTAAAAAGAAACAACAGATCAATGTTTATATACCTAACCCTGAATTACACCCCACATCTTTATAATAAAAATTAAAAAAACAAAAACAAAAACAGAGCAAAGTCTTGGGAAAGCACCAGTAAGAGAATCAGAATACCACCAATCACCGGGAGGGATGCTGCAGCTTCTTAGGGGTCCAGCCTTTAGCTTGTGCTTCACAGGTACCTATTTCTTAACTGCCTCTATTAGTTGTGATTCTTTTTTTAATTTTTATTTTAAGGATGTAGGGTACAGTTCAGAGTTAGATATACAAGTGGTCATCGTTCAGGTGAAGTTTGGTCCCCACTTCGCCTGGTTTGAGATCAGGTACACTTATTGATGTTATGTGCCCCCCTCCCATCTCCTGGCAGTTTCTGGCAACTGCCTATCCCTTTCTTGCCTGGTTTGAGATCAGGTACACTTATTGATGTTATGTGCCCCCCTCCCATCCCCTGCCTATCCCTTTCTTATTGTATTATGATAAATGTTCAGGGTCTGCTTATGAGTGAGAAAATGTGATACTCAGTTCTTTGATTCTGTGACAGATCACTGAGTATTATAGGCTCTAAATCCATCTAAGTTGCTGTGAAGTCCATATGTTTGCTCTTCTTTATGGCTGTGTAATATCCCATTGTGTATATATACACCACATTTTTTTTATCCAGGCCAATTTTGATGGGCAGCACAGTTGGTTCCATGTTTTTGCTAAGTGTGAATACTGCTGCAATAAGCATGTGTGCACAGATATCTTGTAACTGTATTTCTACATACTAGCAAACAAACATTTTGCTGTTGTGTAAACAACAAAAAAGTTCATTCACGATAGTTCCAAAAATATGAAATAGGTATAAATCTAATGAAACATGTATATGATCTAATGCCAAAAACTATAAAATACTGATGAAAAAAATTAAAGATCTAAATAAATTGAGCGACATATCGCCACAACATAGTAAAGATATCAGTTGTCCCTAAATTGGTCCATAGATTTCATGCAATTCTAGTCAAAATTACAGCAGATTTTCTAGTATATACAAACTAATTCTGCAATTTATATATAAAAGCAAAAGAATTAGAGTAGCTAAAATAATTTTGAAAATAATAAAGTTAGAGGAATCACACTAACTGGCTAACTGATTTTTTTTTGAGTTGGAGTCTCACTCTGTTGCCAAGGTTGGAATGCAGTGGCACAGTCAGCCACTGCAGCCTCGACCTGCTGGGTTCAGGTAATCCTTCCACTTCAGCCTTCCAAATAGCTGGAACTACAGGCACATGCTACCATGCCCAGATAATTTTTAAATTATTATTATTTATTGTAGAGTTGTGGTCTCGTCAAGTTGCTCAGGCTGGTCTTGAACTCCTGGGCTCAGGCAATTCTCTTGCCTCTGCCTTCCAAAGTGTTGGAATTACAGGCATGAGCCACTATGACTAGTTTACTGATTTTTGATAAAGATGCAAAAGCGAACAGACAGTATTTTCAACAAATAATGCTGGAATAACTAGATATGCATATGCAAAAAGATGAACTTCACCCTAAACTTCACACCTTATTGGATAAGGTATCATAGATCTAAATGTAAAATGAAAAACTATAAAATGTGTAGAAGGTACAGGAGAAAATTTTTTTTGTGACCTGAGCTTAGGCACAGAATTCTTAGACTTAACACCAAAGCACAATCCATAAAAGAAAATTTTATGAATTGAATTTTATCAAAATTAAAACTTCTGTTCTGTGAATGACATAGTTGATGTGAATGAGCGCTCCAGTCTGGGTGAGAGAAAAGAAAAGAAAATCTACAGAATGAGAAAAAATATGCAAATTGTATATCTAACAAAAGACTTTTATCCAGGATATATAAAGACTCTCAAAACTCAACAAAAAAGCCAAACAAGCCGGGCTCGGTGGCTCAGCCTGTAATCCCGCACCTTTGGGAGGCTGAGGTGAGTGGATTGCCTGAACCCGCGGGTTCGAGACCCACCTGGGCAGCGAGACCTCATCTTTACAATAAATCAAAAAATCAGCCAGGCGTGGTAGTGCATGCCTGTAATTCTGGCTACTCGGAAGGCTGAGGCAAAAGGAACACCGGAGCCCAGCAGGCGAGGCTGCGGTAGCCGGGAGTGGCCACTGCACTCCAGTCTGGGCGACAGAGTGAGACTCCAACTCAAAAAAAAAAAAAAAAAAAAGCCAAACAACCCAATTAAAAAGCAGGCAAAAGATTTGAAGAGACACCTCTCCAAAAAAGATATATGGGTGACAAAAAAGCACATGAAAAATTGTGCAACATCATTAGCCAATAAGGAAATGTAAATCAAAACCATAATAACAGACCGCTATACATTTATTAGAATGGCCAAAATAAAAAATTCCAGTAATACTAAGTGCTGGTGAAGATAAGGAGTAACCGGAACTCTCACATATTGCTGGTGGGACTATAAAATGAGACATACATTCTGGAAAACAATCATTTGGCAGTTTCTTAAACAGCATATATACCATGTGACCCAGTGATTGCTGGGTATCTCCAAAGAAAAATCTGGACACAAATGTTCACAATAGCTGTATTCATAATCACCCCAAATTGAACACAACACAAATATACTTCGGTAGGTGAAGAGATAAACTGGTACATTCATACAATCAAATATTATTCAGCAATAAAAAAGAATGAACTCTAGATGCACATGGCAACATAGATGAATCTCAAAGGCATTATGATGGGTGAAAGAAGCCAGTCTCAAAAGATTCCACACTGTGTGATTCCACTTACATAACATTCTTGAAAATGTAAGACCAGAGCGATGGGTGGTTGCCAGGGACTAGGGGCTGGGGAAAGGTGTACCATACAGAGTAGCTAGCACAGGGAGTTTTTATAGGGTGATGGAACTGTTTTGTATCCTGATGGTGGTGATTATATGAATCTACATTAAGTGTTGAAATTCCTAGCACTGCACTCCTCCTCTCTCCAAGAAGGCTATTTTTATACATGGTGATTAAAATTTAAAAATAAAATAAAGGAAAAAATTTTTAAGTTAGGTCCTAGCCAGGCTCGGGGGCTCAGCCTGTAATCTCACGCTTTGGGAGGCTAAGGTGAGTGGATTGCCTGAGCCCGCGGGTTCGAGATTCACCTGGACAATTTGGCGAGACCTCATCTCTACAATAAATCAAAAAATTAGCTGGGTGTGGGTAGCGCACGTCTGTTGTTCCAACTACTTGGAAGGCTGAGGCGGAAGGATCACCAGAGCCCAGCAGGTCGAGGCTGTAGTGGCCGGGAGTGGCCACTGCACTCCAGTCTGGGCGATAGAGCGAGACTCCAACTCAAAATACATAAATAAATAAAGTTAGTTAGGCCCTGTACTTATTCCCCTGTACTACAACCTATTTATTGATGGTTATCCAGATTGCTCTCAGATTTTTGCTACTGGAAACTGTGCTACTTTGACTATTCTTGCAAATGTTGCCTAATACACTTGAGTTGAGCTCCTTTAGGGTTTATAACTAAGAGAGGAAATTGCTGGGTATATGCATTTTTTAGCTCCAACTGTTTTCCAAGCTAATGAGCAATCTCAGCAGGAGCATATAAGAGGCCCCGTTGTTTGATATCTTTATCAGCCTGATTAGAAGAGCGAGATTCCCGCTGCTCTGTCTGGAGGAAAGGGATGGGGCATGGGGGCCTTGCTCTGTGCTTCCTTGCTGGCTGATGAGCTGAATTCTTGCCTCAGGTTCATAAGTTGACTCTCCTCTCACCCCAGAGCCTGTTCAAGTGTTCTGCTTGGTTTCTCATTGGGGTTGTTTGTGTTTTTCTTTCATTATATCTTCTCCATACTAGTCTCTTTTTTTTAGTTGTGGTTCTCACTTTGTCGCTCTGGCTGGAGTGCAGTGGCACACTCATAGCTCACTGCAGCCTCAAACTCCTGGGTTCAAGTGATCCACTGGCTTCAGCCTCCTGAACAGCTGGGACTACAGACTCGTACCACCATGCCTGCCTAATTATACTTTAAATATATTTACTATTGTCTTTTAAATATACGCTTTTAAATGATACTTAATCTTTTTTTTTTTCAGACACAAGGTCTCGCTATGTTGCCCAGACTGGTCTCAAACTCCTGGATGGCTCAAGTGATCTTCCTGTTTCAGTCTCCTGAGTAGCTAGGATTATAGGTATAAGCCACCACACCTGGCCTTACTTTATTTATTTATTTATTTATTTATTTGAGTTGGAGTCTCACTCTGTCACCCAGA